GTACAAATGCGCTTTACACAATTGATGTGTGTATGGATTGTGATAAGAGTTGTATGAGCCCCTAATAAAATGTTTTTTTAAAAAAGAATTTCCCCGTTGCATAATCCATTTTATTCATTCCTTTATCTTCACCTATTATTTCTCCCTCCCTCGATGTGTTATTTTCATCCAGGCTTTTTCTACCTTGAAAAAGGCCATCAAGTTCCACTGCTGTGCCAATCCAGCCTGCTGGGGGCAGTGCCAGGGGTGCAAGTGTTTCCCCTTTAACGCAATCCCACTCATGTTGGGCGGGGGCACAAAGGCACAGGCCAGCGGGCTGTCTCAACCCCTGGGCAATACTCAACCCATTGCTGCCAGGCCCTTGGGAATCCCCATAGGTTCAGAGATACAGTGTCTCCTGCTGAAGGATCACCTCAGCTTCTGACACCCAAAACTGCAGCCCTAGTCTGGGAGCCACAGCACCCTGTAGAAAAAAAGCAACTTCAGGTGATCTGGGACAGAACTGTACAGGGACGGTGGGCCCTCTCCAGCCCCTCCTGAGAAACCTGCGGACCTACCTGGAGGACACACACCCCCTCCCCCCCCTTGGGTGTGAGCACACGCTTTTGAAGGCGTGAAAGCCAGCCTCCGGTGCCTTCACTTTCCCCCATTTTGGCTAACAAATGTTTCAACTGCCCATTCCAAGTTTTGTATCAAACCACTACTCTGGGAGTGCTTTGCAACACGGGCTGCTCACTGAACGTGTTTCCTGGCTGCCTGCCACGCCCATGGCCATGCAGTGCTCCTTGGTCAGAGCTTTCACTTGATGGCTCGTACTGGCACACTTACCAGGGGCTCCGAATGAGGAACTTGCTCTGAATCACCACTAGTAAGTGGCTTAAACAGACTCCCCATGCCCAGACTAGGAGGGGCGGCCCGTCAGACGCAGCCCTGGTGGAGGGCGCTAGCTCGGCTTAGGCTGGAACGTCATGAGCTCTCCCTTTGGGACCAGTGTGAATTTGTTCCAAATGTTTTATAGTCTCTGATTTCTCTTCGATTGAGGTCTTTAATTCAGCTGGTCATTGTTGCCGGGCCCCTTGGCTGATGGTGTCCATGTTTTGCACATCTCTCTGTAGAGGGAGACTGTAGCTGGATCACGGATTGCCTCAGGGGCACAGAAGGGGAAGGTGGGGAAATGGGCAATCAACACCAATGGGTACAAAAAGGGGGGGGGGGGGAAATTCACGAGCTGGCAATGGTTACACACCCTTCTTCAGAATGATTAAATTGTATGATGTTAATTATGGCTCAATTTTTAAGTATGTGTCATCTGAATCTGACCAAGATTTAGAGTTCAGATCTCAGGTACCAATTCCCAGGAGACCCAGGAACATGTTAAGACAGTCCTGCAAAAATGATCTATTTCTTCAACCAAGATGCCAAGGGGGAGATAGAAATGAAAAGCAACTTACAGAAAGGTATGTACAATATTTGCATCCTCATTCAAATGAACAAAATGTAAAATCAAAATTGAGTCTGGAAACTTTAATATTACCAAAAAAGAAGAAGAAACCCTGAGCACCAGAGAAAACGCTGTTGTTGGGAAACGACCTCTTCAGCATATTGTTCCTGCAGTGCAGCATCTCGCCCTTCCCTCTCCCGAGTAACCGAAATGAGACTGTTAGGTTTGTGGTGGTTGTGACGTGCTAGGGAGGGGCTACCAACTTCATGCAACCCTGTGTGCAGCACCAAAGGAAGCAGGCCCAGGCTGGCCCCATCCTCCCAATTGTTGGACAGCTAAAATATCAAAATCAAATCTAATCAGATACAAGTCCTGGCTGAAACTCTGCTTTGCATTTTTCCATGAACTAAATGACAAGGCATTAAAAAAACTGCCATTCTATATGACCTTAGCCCCGGTGAATACGATGGTTAACCCTCTCATCGGCAGCCAAACGGCGAAATATCCCAGCGCACCCAGATGTATCTCAGGAAGTGTGGCAATCGGCTTCCAAAACCTCGGCCACTGAAAACCCTCCAGGGCAGTTCTGTTCTTGTCACATGGAGTCCCTGGGAGATCCCTAGCCGGCTGGCTGGCTGGGGGACCTGCTTGCTGCCCCTGTCTTTTAGAACTGTATTTCTATGGTAAACTTAAGAAAACTGCAGCACTCCGGAACTATTTCTCAGGAAAAGCATGAAAATGCTTACATCTTAATTTTCTTTTATTTAGTTTTTTATATATAAAAAGCAGGCATAAAATACAATGACATTACTACAAAGATGCAACAAAATTTTTTTTGGAAAAAGAAAAACTCGAGGGGTTCGATTTGTGTTCAAAGGGACACCTGATGATGTAGTCATGATTATCTAAACCATGCAGTTCATAACTTATTACAATTCCAAGCAAAACGCATTATATTACGGGGAAGGGAATCGGAGGAGGGGTCCCCAAGCATCTACTATCAAGCCCCGTTACACAGGGCTCATCTTCAAAGTGCTCTGCAGCCCAGCGGGTGTCCTCACCACGCTGGGCAACCAGCCTGGTTCTGGGGAGGGAGCAGGGAGTCAGTAGCAGAGTCAAAACAGGCTGAGCAGCAACTCAGAGCTGACGTGTTGACGGGGTTCTAAGCACGTGATTTAAAGGACATTTCCGTAAGGTCCCATCGTAGCTGAGTTCCTGTTTCACCTCCAGAATCCCGTAAGAATAGGTTAACAGCAGCAGCATGACTTCTTACATTATGGTTTGGCAAAACCTCGAGTATATTTTGTTTAGGATCTATCTAGAAACTGATCCAAAGTAGACCCCCTCTTAGTTTTCAAATACAAACCCTTTAGCTCTGCTGGCACACAGATCCTTTCATTGGCTAGTACATTTTATGCTTTCATGTAGATTTTTAAAATCTTGCTTCTGGAGAGCATTAAAAAATATTCACTATACATTAAGTTTTAACAGTAAAACTGGCACCAGGTTTCCTTCTGCTGTCTTGCTAGTCCCACACGCAAAGAGTAAAGAAAGACTCCAGCCAAGTCCATCCCAGGACCCACTATGTCTCAGATCCCTACAGGGGCCTCACTGGCTCTAGGAGAGACCAGGTGTCTGGAATCGGCAACGTTGGCTCTTACAGAGATGATCTTCGAAGCTTGAGGGTCTCGAAAGAAAGGG